GGCAGCGGGCAGTTGCCCGGAATGGCTACCGCCGGCGGGTGAACCCTCACCCACCGGCTACCCGCTGGTTTGCACCACAATTGGGGATTTTGGCTTCCCCGTTTGATGTTCCCCCGATCTCCGTGGTGTCCCAACGGACTCCGTCTATCGTGCCTATGTCTAGTTTGATTTTCGGGTACCGTTCGTAGGACGTATGAGTCTTATATATTGCATGCTAGTTGAATTGGTATCCCGTTGACCTAGGTGAAAGAAGCATGAACCCCTTAGGACTATTATTAGAACGTGAAGGATCACGCATAGATTTTGTTATACGTTTTCTCCCCCTTCCCAATGTGTTAATGTGGGTTACATGTGCTTGCTATGTGTTATGTGTGCATGTTACCCCGATTTGGTTGAGATCAATCGGCCTATACGGGCAGTCGGGTGGGCTGAGAACCATACCGGCTGTTAACCAGGCTGGTAGAGACCGGTCAGGTATATAAATATTATATAGGACTAAGGTCCACTATACGGGCAGTTGAATGGGTTGAGAACCATCCCAACTGTTAACTAGGCTGGTAGAGACCGGTCAGGTATTGCAATCGACCCCTCCGTAGTGTGAGACGGGGCAGGGTGCTGCGGGGCCGTGTCAGAGCTATATGCGCTGACCCTCATGTATGGGCATGCGATTGGTCCTGTGGCGCCAACAAAGTGTGCTATATGATGAGATAAGAAGGGTTGATGTTGTGACTGTGATAGGACTCTTGCTAGTAATGCTTAATTGTGATTATTGGTTGTGCTTAGCTATGACTGTTTCCTATGTGAGATTTGTATATGCTTGGCTATGACTGTAGACTGTGTGTACCCCTATTTGTCGAGTCGGTTCCCTGATTTCAAAGCTAGAGTTTCGTAGGATATATCTTCATGCTTCGAAATGACTTTTCGTATATCTATTGTATTTCAACGCGTTGGAGTGGTTTGCACCACAATTGGGGATTTTGGCTTCCCCGTTTGATGTTCCCCCGATCCCCGTGGTGTCCCAACGGACTCCGTCTATCGTGCCTATGTCTAGTTTGATTTTCGGGTACCGTTCGTAGGACGTATGAGTCTTATATATTGCATGCTAGTTGAATTGGTATCCCGTTGACCTAGGTGAAAGAAGTATGAACCCCTTAGGACTATTCTTAGAATGTGAAGGATCACGCATAGGTTTTGTTATACGTTTTCTCCCCCTTCCCAATGTGTTAATGTGGGTTGCATGTGCTTGCTATGTGTTATGTGTGCATGTTACCCCGATTTGGTTGAGATCAATCGGCCTATACGGGCAGTCGGGTGGGCTGAGAACCATACCGGCTGTTAACCAGGCTGGTAGAGACCGGTCAGGTATATAAATATTATATAGGACTAAGGTCCACTATACGGGGGTGGGTTGAGAACCATCCCAACTGTTAACTAGGCTGGTAGAGACCGGTCAGGTATTGCGATCGACCCCTCCGTAGTGTGAGATGGGGCAGGGTGCTGCGGGGCCGTGTCAGAGCTATATGCGCTGACCCTCATGTATGGGCATGCGATTGGTTCTGTGGCGCCAACAAAGTGTGCTATATGATGAGATAAGAAGGGTTGATGTTGTGACTGTGATAGGACTCTTGCTAGTAATGCTTAATTGTGATTATTGGTTGTGCTTAGCTATGACTGTTTCCTATGTGAGATTTGTATATGCTTGGCTATGACTGTAGACTGTGTGTACCCCTATTATAAATATTATATAGGACTAAGGTCCACTATACGGGGGTGGGTTGAGAACCATCCCAACTGTTAACTAGGCTGGTAGAGACCGGTCAGGTATTGCGATCGACCCCTCCGTAGTGTGAGATGGGGCAGGGTGCTGCGGGGCCGTGTCAGAGCTATATGCGCTGACCCTCATGTATGGGCATGCGATTGGTTCTGTGGCGCCAACAAAGTGTGCTATATGATGAGATAAGAAGGGTTGATGTTGTGACTGTGATAGGACTCTTGCTAGTAATGCTTAATTGTGATTATTGGTTGTGCTTAGCTATGACTGTTTCCTATGTGAGATTTGTATATGCTTGGCTATGACTGTAGACTGTGTGTACCCCTATTTGTCGAGTCGGTTCCCTGATTTCAAAACTAGAGTCTCGTAGGATATATCTTCATGCTTCGAAATGACTTTTCGTATATCTATATATATATATATATATATATATATATATATATATATATATATATATATATATATATATATATATATATATACATATGTATATATATACATATGTATATATATACATATGTATATATATATATATGTATATATATACATATGTATATATATATATATGTATATATATACATATGTATATATATATATATATATATATATATATATATATATATATATATATATATATATATATGTATTGTATTTCAACGCGTTGGAGTGGGTTATCAGCATCTCTCGCTGAACAGATATATTTGGCTTTCAGGCACAGAAGAATAAGTCACTGTAGCGCGCTAGAACTTGGAACGTAGGAGTAGACAGTTTCCCTTTCGGCCTGCGTGCCATGTTTATGCATTTGCACTATTGAGGAAATTAGTTAGTTAGCCTGTGCACCTGAGTTCTCTAGCTCAGGTGTGGCATAGCACCCCGTACTCTTGTATTATGTTTTGGGATTTAATGAGATTTCACCTTTATTTCATAAGTTTCAAAAGTCTTGAAAATCTGGGGTGTTACATGAGATTCCAATCCAAGCCCAAAGAAAGTCATTTGATTGCAACCAATAAGATAATTCGATATCTTAAATGAACGATCAATGTGGGATTATGGTATCCCAAAGAAGGAGATTTTACACTACCTGGTTATTCAAATGCAGATTTTGCAGGTTGTAAAATAGACCGAAAAAGTACCTCAAGGACATGCCAGTTCTTAGGGGGAAGATTGGTCTCCTTCTTCAGCAAAAAGCAAAACTCCATAGCTACGAGCACTACCAAAGCCGAATATATTGCAGCTGGGAGTTGTTGTGCACAAATCTTGTGGATGAAGCAACAATTATTGGACTATGGGATTAAGTGCGAAAATGTTAGCATTTTATGCGATAATACTAGTGCAATCGCCATAACCCAAAATATGGTGATTCATTCACGAACCAAGCATATCGACGTTCGACACCATTTTATCCGAGACCACGTCGAAAAGAAAGATTTGAAAATCGATCATTATCCCACAGAGAATCAAATTGTCGACATTCTCACAAAGCCGTTGTGTGAATCTCGTTTTGCAACTCTAAGGCATGAAATGGGAATGATCGAAATGAGCTAAGCGTTTCTAATCTCTTAATATGTTCGCACTGTGCATGTTATTTATGTGAACTACGTGTTGTTGTTGTTTTTTTTTTTTTTTTTTTTTTTTTTTTTTTTTTGTTTTTTTTTTTGTAGCATGTGTTATTTTTGTGTATTCATGTAATATGTATTTAGTTGTGTACATGGTTTCGTAAAATCTATATGTGTCAAAATGTGTTAGAACTTTATCTTACGAAATTTGCGTACATGTGTTTGTAATTTATTTATGTGAAATATGTATCAATTTATTTTGTCACGGGTTTTAGAATAATTAATTTGTGTACTAAGTGTGTTTAATTAATTTAATTTGAGCTTAGTATGCAATTAAGGGGGAACAAATCTTTGTTGGATTAATTATTTAAATAAAGCATCTACTTGGGGGGAACTTAGAAGATTTGCATGTTATATGGGTTTCTTTACAAAGAAATTTATTCTGATGATTGCTTGCCTAAAATTGAAGTATCAAAAGTCAAAAAAGTCAGGCCCAAAGTTGTAGAAAGTCAAAAAATTTTAATTTTTGTTTGGAACTTGAAGCCTTTTCAGAATATTAGGTATACATCTGTCAGTCCAAATTTTTTTCAGATTTCTTTTCAGAAAATATATCAGCTTTATTGAAATATGAAATCGAGATGATAATATTTATCTGGAATATATCTATTGGTCTAACAGATTGTTTTCGAGATTTTTTTTATCTGATTTGCTCCAGGTTGGCGGTTATTTGAAGCACAATTTTTGGCGCCATGTACCCACAAATAGAGTATTTAAATCTGAGCTGGAAAATTTAAATCATGTGGAAGGTCGAATTTATCCTCAAGGAGATCAATACTCTCTCTCCATCCACTAAAGGGCAAAAAAGTAATTTCACAAGGATTTTCCCTCAATTCTAACGGGTAAAAGGAGAAGACTCCAAAATCAAACTCTTTTCTTCTTCTCCATTCTCGCCGGCCGGATTTTAGAAGAAAGGAGATCTCAAATCTTCCACATCTTCCATACCCATCCAAAACCTTCTACACTAAATTATTCTACTCATAAAAACCCATCACCCAAACCTAAAAACACACCCAAATACTCTCTAAAACCAAATACCCAATCCCCTCACCCATTTCGGACTTCACTGCCGAAAAACCCAATTTTTTTTTTCACCAAAAATTCCCAAACTCAAGCTCAACTCAATGCATGTTGATCAAATGGAGGTGGAGACATTCACTACTGGAGGGACAAGGAGATCTAGCCGTGTGCTAAGCGGGATGATACTCGACATCACCGATTTCAACAAGCAAGTGGAGGACAAAACTTTAGGGGTAAAAATTATCAACTCTCTTGAATCTTGTGGGTTGTTAAATTTTTGCACCTTTAGATATGTTGGTTTCTATAGGGATGAGGTGATCGAGTTATATATGCATGCTAGAGTCGAAAATGATTCAATTATTTCGAAGGATATTTAACCTTGTTGAAACAAATTTCACTAGTACAGATCTGATCATTTGCTACTGTTGTAAATGACATTTAGCTACTGTTGTACAACAGTCGCAGATACTAGCGTCACAAAAAGCCTCGGACATTACGCGACTGTTGTGAAATAGTCGCGAATTGGGTATTAATTCGTGACTGTTCTTGATGTCAAATAATCGCGGATTGTATTTTTATTTTTTTATTTTCTTTATTCAGTGGTTTTCCGCGACTGTTTTAACATAGAAACAGTCGCAGAATAATTTTTTGTTTAATTATTTAATTTATTTTTGTTAAATTCACTATTTTTTTTAATAATTCTTGTACCTGTTACAGTTAAAGTCCTACACAACACAATTTATCTATCAATACACTACTTTATATCACCACACTTTAATATCCTAAAAACACTACAATACTTTTAACACAAAACAATCATCAATACTTTAACAAAATGCACTTGAACACAATACTATCATCAAAACACAATACTACTTTATATCCTCGATTACACTTTAATATAATAATATCATCAAAACATGCACAAAACAATACAATCATCAAAACAAAACTATTTATCAATAAAACAAAAGTTACACGCACTCCGAAAAGAAGTATTTTGCCCATTGCTCCCGAATCTCATTTATGTCATTGATGGAGTACGGACTATCGCTTTCAAATGCCTACAAAAAAATTTAAGTAATCAAATTTATGTTAATTAATAAAATATAACTTAACTGTACTATACATAGTTGTATTTAAATTCACTTACCTTATCCAAATCATCAATAGATGAATATTTTGTCACGATATCAAACATGTATCGCATGACATAATATCCACACTCATAATCTCCAGGTTGTATCGGGCACTACAAAATACATATATATATATTATTAATTTAAGCAATTTATTATAATTCATAATATCACACTAATTAAAACTTAAATTCAATTTCTATACATACTTTGCATGGCTTCCAATCGATGTTCTTAATTCGTCCATTCGTAGGAACAGAGCGAAATGCCCTATATTAATTATAAACATACATAAAAATTTATAAATAATATAATAGAAGTTAAAATACTTATATAAATAATAAGATATTTACTTACAAATTAATAGAAGCTTTAATTTCACCATTGTCGCGATCAGAAGGCAAGGGATCCAAGAAACATACGCTTTTTGAGCGCATGCAAATAACCAAAAGTAACCAATGTGATCTACATTTAAAAAACACACATACATATTAAAAATTTAATACCTAATACTTGAAATAATACTAATAAAGTAAAAGAACAATTTTCATACTCTTGATGATATGGTGCTAAAATAAATTGTTTATCTTTGTTCTGCTCCATGACGTGGATGAAATATGATATAACATTGGTGGCATTCCGTTTAAGCATACTGTTGCAAATCTGAGTCGGACAAACAAACCCGATTGACCTAAATTTAAACTGATTGCACAACCGATTAAGAAATCTGAAAATTAAGAAATAATTAATAAGAAATTTCAATAAATATAAAAAACATATATATAAAATACAATAATAATTTTATTTGTTTAAAAAAAAAACTTACAATATAAAGACTTGTATGATTGAGACGTCTAGCCAATTCATCAGCATCAAATCCTTTATATCTTTCATCATCACAAAAATAGAACCTGTGTTTCTATGATGAAAGATTTCTTCATTCAATCCCAACTCAATATAATCTTTATCAGATGGAAAGCTTTTCAACGCATTGACCAAATACTTGCAATTGTCCCCCAAGTGTTGTAAGACATCATCATCAACGAGGGGAGGTCGTGTACCAGTAGCGGATAGATCACCACTTTGGTCTGTTAGTTTCTTATTTTGTTTTGGCAAACTCTACAAGTATAAAATAATTGTAATTTTACTAACATTTTAAGCAACGAAAACTAACTTAATAACTAACTAAAAGAATGCATACCTCATCTAAAGTCACTAAATGCATAGGCCACTGTACAAAGTTACCAATGACATCTACTATAGTGACATATTGTTGATCTGGCATAGGGAGATTAAATTGCTCTCGACCTTCAATCACGTCATCCACCCAAACTCTGACACAGTTATGAAACAATGGTTGACGATTCACCAAAGTCTCGTCTGTAGTTGGGTGAGCCATACCCTTTGCAACAACAATTGATTTGCCATCGAGACAAATTGCTAGTGAACACCTTTTGGGAGTCTATTCATAAAAAACGTGTGTTAATCTTAATCTAACAAGAAATAATATTTTGATATAAGAAATAACTTTTGATATTACCTTAATTGTTGCAACTGGATATGTGTCAACTGAATGACAACTGCTACGAGTATGCGGTTGATCACAAAGCGGTGAATCACTTTGAGGAGTTCCAGCCAAGACCCCTTGTGAAAATAGATGTGTCCCCGCTATGTTGTTCATCAGAAACTTGAGTTGCTGGTCCATGGTATCAATCCTGGGTTTCATCTGTGCTTCCACCTCTGTCATTGTATCTTGCCTACATTTCTCTAACATTTGTTTGACAGCTTCTTTTGTATAAACCCCACGCGATGTGCTTTGTTTCCGGTCTGGTCTACCAAACACTCCTTGGATGGTAGAGTAACTTCCAACTCCTCTTGCAGAACCTGGATGATCATCCTTTCCAAGAACTACTGACAATATGTCATGTTGTCTTTTTGGCTCAAATGTCCCTTGATTAATTTCTTCACATTTTTCTACCTGTTCGAACAAATAAGAGAAGTCAAATATTAATATTTTTTATAAATATTATGTATTATTTAGACATTTTTTTAAACAAAAAAATATAATACTTACAATTTTATGAAGCACTTCTTGTGTTTTTTCATTTGGAATAAAGTAACTTCCATCATCTGCTTTTTTTGTTCTTGCTCGTATCCAATCAAAGCTATGATCATTAGACATCAAAGATGAGCTAACTAACTCACACGAAGACTGTGAAGGTAGAGGGTCTGATTTCATCCAATCTTGTCGTTTCCTCGCATATCCACCAGAACCTAAGTGTGGATGCTCATTTAACGCCTGCATTTCCCTTGCCTTTTGACTTTTTTCCTATGATTTCACTAACATGTTAATATTTATTTTTTTGGTGAATAACATAGTAATATTCATAAAGCACTTTACTTATAACTAAATGAGCTAAATATACCTTAAACTCTTTACTTTGCCGATTTGCTACAAACCTCGCCCATTGTTCATCACTCAAGAACGAATAAAGTTGTGTAGGAGAAGTATACTTTTTTGTGTTTCTTGTGAACATAATCACGTAACAATCTACTCTTAAAGTCTTTCCATCTCCCCCGATGCAATTTTCAAAACCACTGACTTCTTCGACTCATCTTGAATACCAAACCGCCCCTGAATAATAACATGCACATTATACATATACATACATACATACATATATATATATATATATATATATATATATATATATATATATATATATATATATATATATATATATATATATATATATATATATATATATATATATATATATATATATATATATATATATATATATATATATATATATATATATATATATCAATATTAATATAAAGTTATTGAATATACCTTAACATCTTCCCAAATGATATCTTTAAGCCTTTGTTCTACTTGACGCCAAGTTTTGATATTGATATCAACACGAGTACGAACCAAACTCCCAATGTATGAAACAAATTTCGAGCCATGTTCCCCGCCTATCTTGCCAGACTCATCAATCTGAACTGAAAGTTCTTCAGGCTTCTTTTTTTTTTCAATTTGTGGCATGTTGTAGGCCCTCTTTTTTTACGTTCAGTATTTAAAGTAGGAGGCTCTGAAATAGTAGGAGTAGATGTAGATTGATCGGTCATGATTATTTATATATACCTGCACAAACAAAAAAAAAAATTTTTAGTAAACATGCTAAATTGCATTTTAACCCAAATAAAATACCCCTAAAATAAATTATTTAACAATTTATAGACCTAACTATAAAACATTATGATGTCCGATTGTCAACCCACAATCCTTCTTCATGGTCGCTACGCATATAACTTATTTCAAAGTTATCTTCTTCTAAAGGTAAAGACTGAACACCAATAGAAAAGGGAGGAGTTTCATCAAAATGATCATACTCTTCTTCATCCACAACATCACCAACACCAACAATAGATCTTTTGCCTTGTAACACAATTGACCATTTATTATCAATAGGATCAGAAACATAAAACACTTGTTTTGCTTGAGATGCAAGTATGAATGGTTCATCATGATAACCCAATCGTTCAAAATCAACCAAAGTAAAACCCAATTCATCTATCCGAACGCCTCTTCTATTATCAACCCAACTACATCGGAATAGAGGAATTTTAAAGACTTTGTAATCAAGTTCCCAAATTTCTTCAATGACACCATAATAAGACATAGCAGCATCAATCGGTTTAGTATCTTTAGCACTTGAATAATCTTTTGATAATGCTACTTGTGTAACCCCACTATTTTGCACCACACTCTTTTCATCTTGTCGTTTGGTGTAAAATGTATATCCATTTATGTCATAAGCTTCATAACAGCTCACAAGAAAATCAAGTCCATATGCTAACCATTTGATGGTTTCACTGACATTATTTGGCACTTGAGATAACTCTTTCATCACCGTATCTTTAAACCATGTGATGAATGTGCGATTGTGTTCAATTGCCACCCATCTTTCACCTTTTAAAGGATTTTGTTGTCTTATAAGAGACATGTGTTGGTCTAAGTATGGATGGACCTCAGAAAGGTGTTGCAATACGAGATGGTGTGCCTTATCTCGCAACTGCAAAGGTGGAGAAAATGATTTGTACCCAATAGTACCTTTCCCGGTGAGTCTTCCTTCGTGACGAGATCTGGGAACACCAATAGACTCAACATTAGCTAAATAGTCAGTACAAAAATCAATGACTTCTTCAGCACCATAACCTTCAATTATACTCCCTTCAGGTCGATACCGGTTTCTCACATATCCTTTTAATATTCCCATATATCTTTCAAACGGATACATGTACCTCATAAAAACCGGACCACAAATCTTAATTTCCCTCACCAAATGAACAATCAAGTGGACCATATATAATATCAAAAAAAGATGGAGGAAAATACATTTCAAATTGACACAAAGTAACAACCACATCAGCTTGCAGATCATCTAACACATCCAGATCAATAACTTTACTGCAAATAGCATTGAAAAAGAAACAAAGTTTTGTAATAGCCTGTCTAACATGTTTCGGTAAGATGTTTCGAATTGCAATAGGTAACATGTGCTGCATTAATACATGACAGTCATGAGACTTCATGCCAACCAACTTAAGGTCCTTCATCGACACAAGTTTCTTAATATTCGATGAATAACCAGAAGGAACCTTGACACCATTTAAACAGGCACAAAAACTTGTTTTCTCTTTTTTGGATAAAGTATGACAAGCTGGAGGTAAGTACATTCGCTTTCCTGACTCTTGTGGTGATAACTTATCCCGTATTCCCATTTCAATCATATCCTTTCTAGCCTTAACACCATCTTTCATCTTCCCTTGAATGTTCAACAGTGTCCCAATAATGCTGTCACAAACATTTTTCTCGACATGCATAACATCAAGACAATGTCTAACTGATAAATGCTTCCAATAAGGTAGATCCCAAAATATAGACCTCTTCTTCCAAGGAGTCATTTGAGAAGTCTTACAAGTCTTACCAAAATTAGCATCAACATTCTTTACACTTTCATATATTGCATGTCCAGATAAAGGCAAACGAGCTACTTTAGTCTCAGATTTTCCATTAAAAGCCTTTTTCTTCTTCCGATAAGGATGATCAGTAGGGAGAAATGTCCTATGGCTCATGAACATATTCTTTCTACTGTTACTCAACCATAGACTGGGAGTTTCATCTTCGCAAATTGGACATGCCTTAGCTCCTTTAGTAGTATAACCCAATAGGTTACCATATGCTGGGAAATCATTTATTGTGCAAAAGATCATTGCACGTAAAGTAAAGCTGCTTCGACTATAAGCTTCATACACAGGCACACCTTCATTCCACAGCATCTTTAAATCCTCAATAAGCGGTGCTAGATATACATCAATGTCATTTCCTGGTTGTTTAGGCCTTGATATCAACAACGACAACATGATATATTTTCTTTTCATACACAACCAAGGTGGAAGATTGTAAACTACTAAAAGAACAGGCCAAGTACTATGTCGACTGCTCATGTTACCATGAGGATTCATTCCATCAGTACACAGTCCAAGTCTAAGATTTCTATTTTCAGAACCGAAATCAGGCCACCTCCTATCAATATTCCTCCATTGCGGTGAATCAGCCGGATGTCTCAATTTTCCATCTTCTTTTCTCCCAATAGCATGCCATTGCAAATTTGTTGCCTCTCTTGGATTAGCAAACATGCGTTTAAATCTTGGTATTACAGGTAAATACCATATTACTTTGGCTGGGGGACCTTTCTTATTCCCACACGCATCTTTGTTTTTATAACGTGATGCTGCACACTTTGGACACACATTCAAGTCTTTGTAATCTCTCCTATACAAAATACAATCATTTGGACATGCATGTATCTTCTCAATGTCCATACTCAAAGGATACAACATTTTTTTTGCTTCGTAAGTTGAATTAGGAAGTTCATTGTCACCAGGAAGCATGTCTTTTAGTAGTTCTAATAATCCTGTGAAACTCTTATCACTCCATCCATTTTTTGCTTTTAAATTATATAATTTAAGCACACCAGATAACTTAGTAAATTTAGTACTTCCAGGGAACAAACGTTTTTCAGCATTGTCAAACAAACTTTTAAATTCATGAGGCATTTCACTAAAATCTTCTTGTACATCACGCATCATTTCATCTATTCGGTCATTATCTTCATCATCCTCATCATTGCTAACATGAGATGCATTATTCTTCTCGTTATCTTCCTAAGTTTGACAATTTGCTTGAGTTTCCTTACTTGCACTTGTACTAGGAAGTAAGCTTTCACCATACCATATCCATCTTTTGTACCCTTCCTTAAAACCACGGCGAATCAAATGACCCATCACTTCATCGGAACTGCGATATCTTTTAAAATTATTACAATCGCAACACGGGCAGACAATAAAGTCTTCCGCCTTTTTACTCCTATTTTCTTCAGCATATTGTATAAACTCTTGAACCCCTTGAATATATTTGAATGTAGTGCGTTTTTCATACATCCAACTCCGATCCATATCTGTGAATTCATAAAATGCTACTCTAAGTACTATGGAGATACAGATACGCAATGATGGACGTAATTATAAACGATATTAGGTGGATTTGAATTGAAATCAAATTACCTAATTCGTAATCAAAATACCTAATTTTTCAAGCTACATAATTCCTCAAAGAACCTAATTTGTAATTAAAGAACCTTTAGGGAGAGAGCATTAGCTCATAACAACAGAAAATTATTACATCTTGAAGTGAAATCGTAATTAAAACAAGAGTAAATTCCATTTTTAGTCCTCAACTATTGTGTCATTGTCACATTTAGTCCTAATCTTTTAATTTTGTCATATTACATCCTCGACTTTAATTTGATTGCCACTATTGATCCTCCGTTAAAACTTCCGTTAATCTACCATTAAAAATAAGGTCAATAATGTAATTTAATTTTTTTTGAAAACAATAATGTAATTTAATAATTTGTCTCAAATACGTATTAAATTCATCAAAGAGACCACATTTCTAGTTTGCAGAGAGTCAGACTTTTCTTGCACAAAAATTTCACCACATTTTCCATGGTTAGTTTGAGACATGAAACAGTGCCAATTTCTTTAAATTTTATCACATGAATGAATGCAAATGACAAGTCCTAACACCACAAATCCATGATAAGACTTCCTATCCTTAAAAATGAAAATAGAAAGAAATGCAAGACAAAAATAAAATACAGTGTATAAAAGTAACACTCACCTGAATTTTGTACTTGCTCAGCCTTCCTGACCTTCCAAAATATATGAAGGGAAGCCCAGACAAGAAAAAGATACTTTCATGAAGAAAGAAACTTCCAAGGGAAGCCAACTGCAGTCACTAAAATGAGTAATAACAAACTGAATTCATTTGTGTTGAGTCTTGTATTAACTAAAATAAAGCACAGAAGAAATTAACTAAATAAACTAGCTCTAAAATATCTCTAATACAATTAATGAATATTCCCAATTCAATTAACAAAAGGCAAATACAACACCCCGAACAATGGGGACTAATCCGTATAAAGGAGGACTAAAATATACCTCACTAGTCACTAGCATTGCTTTTAGTGAGGTTCAAACCCCGTAACCGTTTGGTCAAGGGCTCTAGCCTGAAGACCTTTGAGGCTTTGACAATTGGACAAGCCTTTAGGTTCACCATGATATAACATTTTAATAGGTGAACTTTAGTCCCTTGGAAATGTTGGAGGTAAATAATACAAACAAGTCAATATCCATTGATCAGGTATTTAAGTCTGATATCCTTTTATTGTACAAGTGCCAGAAGTAGTATGCTAAGATGATCAGACCAGAATGATTCTTGAGGAAACATTGACCTCCTGTAGGTACATAGACTTCCAAATCTCTAGCTTATCAACACAGAACAATCACTCTTCGCCAAACAAACTCCAACCCCACAAGTTATTCAAATATTTAAACATGTCTTAAGGAAATACTTGAGGTGGTACTGCAGGTCGAGCTCATGCAAATGTGAAAAGACCTGCAAAAGTTGAACAGTGGAATTTTAAAAATTATAATCTCAGCATATTATGAATAAAATATAGAGAAAAGTTTAATTGTTAAATTCATCTAACAAATACAGGGAGATAAGCTTGAATTTTGAAGGGAAAAAAGTTAACCTACTGCTCGACTTCAGCAAGTTTCTTCTATTTATTTTTCTTGTTGAGACCGTCCTATTTGACTTTGCTTCCAGTACCATTAAAAAGATATATAAGCAACTCTAGAGAGTTAGCCACTAAAACAAGGGCAACAAAATAGAGACTAGTGGTACTGCTAAATCCATCACCAATTCAATCAAATAGCTTACAATCATTGTTCATGATACTATTACAAGGTTCATCACTTCATCAGCTAGTTATGAGCTCAAAGGTATAGAGGATTTCCTATGCATTCTGACATTTGTGTTTTGGAGGTCTGGAACCTGTTCTCATGTTTTCAAATATGCCTAACATGCTCAAAGGAAGTACGAAAGCCCATCTCTAATACCATCACTAATCCACTATTCATAGTGTTCAGAACTCAAATAACCAGACTTCTATATGCCTCAGTAAAAGAATATCACTATCCTAAAAGCCAAGTAAGGAAAATCTCTCCAACGTGCACATTGGAATGCAACCAAATCGTGAAGTATGAAACAGACTGCATGCAAATCCAACTTTCCCTAGCTCATACTAATTGTGTTTTGAGGGCACACAAATAAGTATCCCCTTCAAAAGTTTATTCACACATTACTCGATTAGAAAACACAGCTTAGAAAACACGGCTGTTCGCAATTCTGAACCATTTTTAAACATGCAAGAAGAAAAACAATTAACAACAGAAAGGCATTCTGAGCATAGAAGGAACCAAAGACTAATAGTACAAGGGTTAGTTGACCCTTTTCCCTTTCTATTTCTATTTGTACTTTCAAGTTTCAAGAGACTGATCAAAAGGCCACACAAAAAAGGAATAACATAAGCAATTGAATTACTGTTCAATAAGTAATTATGTATCCAAGATGCCACATAGATTAAGAAACTAAAACACTTTTAAGTTTGCAGTAAATGAAAATGCTGGAGGAAAAGAGTGAAATAACCAACAAATCTACTCCTATTTTTATGGGACCACCCACATAAAAGGAGGACTAAAGACAAGAAAAAATGTACAAATATGATAAGGCAAATAACTTCTAATATGCACACAGAAAACAGAATTACTACAAGTTAAGGAGGTTATGGTAACACAAAAGGCTAAAAGCAAAGATTAGGTCCAGGAGGTTATTAATTGAATCCATAGAAGTCATTCCAGTTATGCACTCATTGTTGTTTTATTAATTTTGGCCGCTTTATGCTTTAATTTACTACATCAAGATTTGTACATTGTATCTAAACCCTAAACCTAATAAAATTTAAAATAAATAAATAAATAAATGAAGAACAAACCTATGGTGGAGGCCGTGACGGTGGCTATGGTGGGCGGAGACAGTGACAGTGGCTGTGGCGAGCGGAGACAGTGAGCGGAGACGGTGGCTATGGCGGGCGGAGGCGACGGTCGTCGCTGGGGCTCTGGAGATTGCGTTCGTGTCCGCAGCTATGGCGGAGGAAAGGGCGTTCACCGGCTGCGGCGGCGTTCACCGGCTGTGGTGGCGTTCGCCGTTGAAGATGAGTGTGTAGTGTTCGGGCGTTCGTCGGATCGGAGGAGATGGCCTGGCCGTTCAATTCGCGATTGAATTTTTTTTATTTGTCGTTGCTCTTGGCCAGGCTGGGTACGTAGCTAGGGTTTTTAATTGATATTTCGCCACTGTTTCTAGAAATAACAGTGGCGAAATAAAAAAGAATTTTAATTATTTTTTTAAAAATAATTTCCGCCACCGTTTCAAAGAGAAACGGTGGCGTTTTATTTTTCTATTTCGCCACTGTTTCAACTAGAAACAGTAGCGAAATCCAAAAGCGTTATTTTAAATTTTCAATCTGCACCCGTTACAGCTAAGAACAGTCGCGGATTATCTATCAATTATTACGAAATTGTCACCGCGAATTTTTGAATTAAGGACACACTACTGTTTTTTTAAAAACAGTAGCTAAATGCCAGTCTCCTATGCCCTGTTTTGTACTAGTGTTTGCGGGTAGAAAATCATGTGTTCGATATCAACTCTACTTGGGCCGAGGTACGCAATGCAAACGCACCGCTAGCTCCTAAGATAAACGGCAATAAAAAGGACTTGAAAATGGACTATGGACTCCAATTGGATATAATACACAAGTGTGTTGAGTCTAGGTACCATTGCCGTGACAAATTGTCGAGAGAGAAGTTGTTGATAATGGATATTATTTTGAATAATGTATGTGTTGATTGGGGTGCATTTGTATTTGGGAGATTGTGTGAATCTTTGAAGAAGGCAAAACCTTTGGTTGATGGTTGGTTCCAACAACAAATTTGTTATGGTTTTGCAATTGGAGAAATTTTGAGAACCAAAAATGTGACTCTATCCAAAGCCAAACTTGTCACTAACCACAACTACCTCTTTCGACCAAACACAACCGAACCCAAAAATCTCACCGTACCCACCATACCCAAACCGACCCGAAAAAGAAAAATCTCAAACCCTTCCCTAGCCCTAAGACCGTTCATTCGTGAACCGAGCAATGAAGCATCCAACACCCCCGCAATTCGATCAAATGAAGAAACATCCAGCCATCCAATCACCACACGACCCATAACCTTCCCAAACCCGAATCCTCTTGTCCTAAACTGTCCCGAGATGAGAGAAGGAGTAAATAGATTGGAGGTTAACACAGTTGAGAGTGACAGAGTTGAGGTTGGCAGTGTTGATGATGTACCAACCATTGGGGCGGACAGTGTTTTATTGGAGGAGTTTGAGCGTGCCAAAGCTTGGAGAGCTTGGAGATTGGGCGATCACAACAAGTTGGCCGAAACAATTAGGCCAAACACCTTGGAAAGGGAGGAACTAGTTTTGAGTTGGCTAGGTACACGTGATCTTGCCCGAGCCACCCGTTGATCGGTAATTAATTCTTGTTTCTTGACTAAGCTTGCACGAAGACAAAGAACCGAGAAAAATGTTCTTGTTGAGGCCACATCGGAAGCACCAATTGGAGAATTTGATCCGAATAATATTCGCCGGGCCACTATTAATTCTTTGGAAGAAATTTGAAGGGCACCCGGAGAGGGATCTATGGCACGAATTGATGATGGAGGATTGCCGGAGTTGGACCCATATCCTGCTACTTATGGAGATGAAAATTTGAGCTATGAGTCTTGCTTTCCTCATCCCGCAACGGAGATTACGAGATCAATTCAAGACAATGTGAGTGCACCAAGCCATCAAATTTCTTTAAATTTGGATGAAGCACAAAATTTGCCTAGCTTGCCAACTACTTGGGTGAGTTCTATGATCAAGATCACCCAAGGAATCGTACCACCTTGATGCTTTGTTATAATAACGAGGAGGCCGAGTCAAATCTTGCCGAGACAATGCTCACTACTCCTCAAGATGATTTTACTCACACTTCGCCGAATCCAACACCCCCAATGCGAGCCGAACCATTGTTCAATGTTCAATCCTTAAGGGAGGAGATTGTTGGAGATGTCAAGGTAATTCTTCAAGAGTCCACAGGAGGGTTAAACACCAAAATGGATGTCATGGACAACTGTAACACCCCGTGTTACGGATCCTAAAACCAACTGATTAATTAATTAATTAATTAATAACCCAGGAGAAAGAATAAATTATAATGGTTAATTAGGGAAAAAGGCCACCATAGCCCATGAGCCCAATTATATAAACCCAACCCCTAAACCCAATAGGAATAAACTCTAAATAAACCCTTGGATCTATAAATAGGGAACTTAGGGAGCACCTAGAACCCCCTCCGACACGCCTAGACGCCCCATCACCCCAGGAGAGCTCCAAGAATTCCCTTAGAAGAAATCAAGAAAGCAAGAAAGCTTAAAGAAAGATCCTTCATAGCCAAGGAATTAATTAAGGCTAAGAGGTAACCCATGTCTCAACAAAACCTATTTTCATAGCTATGATTTCCCCTTAGGGTTTCCCCCATATTATTGTGAATGGCGAAATTATGATGATTATTATTGATGTTGATTTGATGATTCCATGGGGAATCTTGATAATCTTGATAATTGGGAGTTTCTTGATAATGATGATATTCTTGATGATTAATTCGGGATCCTTGATGATTATGTGTTGTTCTTGATGATTATGATGTTCTTGATGATTAATTGGCATCCTTGATGTTTGTGTGTTATTCTTACCGAATCTTGCAATTAGAAGATGAATCGTATTCTTGTTGATATAAAAGTAATTAGAACCCTAGGTTGTATCGTATGATCTTATTCTTGGATTATCGGGTGGGGAAATCGCATGTTTGGGTGTTGATTATATTTAGAAAAGCATGATAGGTTATGTGTCGTTCGTTTCTCGTAATTGATCCGTTAATTGTCTACGTGTTGTCGTTAATTGCGTTGTAAAGTGTCTAAGCATGGTTTCGGGTTCCACAACGGTTCCCGGGGCGAAAAGTGATGAAAAGAGTCAGTGGGGGGTAGGTGGGGGTAGGGGACCCGCCACCTACCCGTGGCAACTCCGGGCAGTTCCGGCAGCGGGCAGCCGGCGGGCGGGCAGCTGCCCGCCGGGCACCCGCTGCCCGGAACAGTGCTGGCCGGCGGGCAGCCGGCGGGTGGACCCCCACCCACCGGCTACCCGCTGGAAAGTCGTCCCCCTCGGGACCCCGACTTCCCCGTTTGATGTTTCCCCGATCCCTGTGGTGTCCCAACGGACTCCGTTTGTCGTGCCTATGTCTAGTTTGATATTTCGGGTACCGTTCGTAGGTTTATGAGTCTATTATATTGCATGCTAGTTGAATTGGTATCCCGTTGACCTAGGTGGAAGAAGTATGAACCCCTTAGGACTATTCTTAGTACGTGATGGATCACGCATAAGGTTGTTATACGCTTTATCCCCCTTCCCAATGTGTAATGTGGGTTGCATGTGCTTGCTATGTGTTATGTGTGCGTGTTACCCCAATTCGGTTGCGATCGGATTGGTTATCCTGAGCTGCGGTTCAGAAGCCGGCTATAGTCAGATGGGAATTCCTGGCTGTAGTCGGATGACGGTATCCTGGGCTGCGGTCCAGAAGCTGGTTGTAGTCAGATGGGAATTCCTGGCTGCAACCAGATGGCATTTTCCTGAGCTGCGGTTCAGATGCTGGCTGTAGTCAGATGGGAATTCCTGGCTACAGTCAGATAACACACTCTCTTGGGCTGCGGTCCACTGTTTGGTTGCGATCAAACATTATGATGAGCTGCGGTTCATCGGTCGGTTGCGATCGACCTCCCCGTGTTGCGATACGGGGCATGGTGCTGTGGGGCCATGTCAGAGCTATATGCGCTGACCCGCATGTATGGGCATGCGAGTGGTCCTGTGGCGCCAACAACGTGCGTTATGTGTTGTGACGTGGACGAGTTGTGATTATGAGCATCTTGGGGGATGTGACTATGGGATTTATATTGGGGATTGTTCATGTTGGGTTATGATCATTGTTTATGCTTTGCCTTATCTGCCTTATCTGTTGTGAACTGCATATGCTCGTTATAACTGTTGCTTGTGTCTGACCTTATCTATCGAGTCATCCCCGGTTTTAAAGCTAGAGTTCGTAGGATATATTCTCATGCTCAAAACGGTTTTCGTATATCTATATATATATTGCTATATGTATTGTATTTCAACGCGTTGGAGTGGGTTACCAGCATCTCTCGCTGAACAGATATATTTGGCTTTCAGGCACAGAAGAATAAGTCACTGGAGAGCGCTAGTACTCGGAACGTAGAAGTAGTTAGTCCCCTTTCGGCCTGCGTGCCATATTATGCATTTACATTATTGAGGATATTAGTTAGTTAGCCTGTGCACCTGGGTTCTCCAGCTCAGGTGTGGCATAGCACCCCGTACACTTGTATTATGTTTTGGGATTTAATGAGATAATACCTTTATTTTATAAGTTTTAAATGTCTTGAAAATCTGGGGTGTTACAGTTGGTATCAGAGCCTAAGTTTGACCCTAGGAAAAGACTATTAAGACCGGACTTTAGGATATTAAGCTTGAACTCTAGGTATTTAGGAACATAGGACTCAGGAATCTTCGGACGCGCGGTGAGATTGTGAAACCTACACATAACCTCCCCTCACTTTATCCCTCTCTAATATTAGGAATCCCTTCCCCACTTATTATATCAAGATTAAAACACAAAATAACATCGACCTTTAATCGCCAGGAATGGCACCCAAGAAGAAACAGTCAGGAGCACCGGGACACCCCTCTCAAGAAATCTTGACTCAGGCCCTACAACGCCTGACCCAAATTGCCCAGGCACTAAGTACTATCGTACCCCAACCTCTGCCAACAGACGAGAACTTGGAAATCCACCACCAAGTCTCGGCACATCGACCACCCACCCTCTCGGAAGACGAAGACCCCACAACCCTCGAGGAATGGATTGAGACATTCGACAAGGTGTTCAGGACGACCCAATGCCCCGAACGCCACCGGGTCAGGATAGCCTCCTTCTATTTCAAGCACGAGGCCGACAACTGGTGGGCCCGCGAGGGGCCTATGTACGAGCAAGACCCCGAATTCAACTGGGAGGACTTAAAGACGCGGTTACGAGAACAGTTCTACCCCAACCACCTGAAGGCCGCCATGTGCGAGGAATTCCTCAATCTAAGACAGGGGACGGCCCCGGTCTCAGAATACTACCGACGATTCTGCCGACTGGCTCGCCTCGCCCCCGAGATAGTACCCACCGAAGGGATCAAAGTCAGGAAGTTCCTAACGGGCCTTAAGCCCGAACATCAGAGGTCCTTGGCCGCCCAAGAACCAAAGACCCTCGGAGAGGCCTATGCCAAGGCATGTCAGCTACAACAGGTAGCGGACCCGCCTCCAGGGATGCAACTGGGGTATAAAAGGAAACCCGAAGGAAGTCGCCCAATTCTCGCCAAGGAAGCTAAGAACCCCAAAACCGCCCCACTTGACCAAACCATCATGCCGACTACCCGGGGAAAAATCCTCACCCTAAGCAAGGCCAGGATCGGAGATAGCAACATAGTCTCCGGAACCTTCCTAGTGCACGCCACCCCAGCTGTCATATTATTCGACTCAGGGGCTACCAACTCATTCATAGCAACCAAGTTCGCCGCCCAGCTCGGTCTTAACGCCACCACCAAGGTACGACTCCAAACCAAGGTGGCCTCAGGCGAGGTCATAAAATGTGATCGCATGTACGAGCATGTAATGATCACCATTCAGGGAGTGGAATTTCCCAGCGACCTGATCCAGTTTCAACTGGATGGGATGCAAGTAATCTTGGGCATGGATTGGCTAGGGAAGTTCCAAGCGCAAATCCTGTGCAGAGAGCAGAAAGTGGTCCTACGAGGGCCAAACGGTAAGAGGGTGTCGTACCGCAGTGCCCGCCAGGATCCAGAGATCAAGCTGATAAACATGATGAAAATCAAGAAGTATCTGGGCCAAGGAAACGAGGCCTTCTTATGCTCAGTCGAAGACCTCAACGCCAAAACGCCCGGACCACAAGCCATCCCAGTGGTGAACGAGTTCACCAACGTCTTCCCAGCCGAGATTCCCGGGGCACCCCCGACCAGAGAAGTCGAGTTCACCATAGACCTCATGCCGGGCGCCGCCCCGATCTCTAAACCACCCTACCGGCTAGCACCAAAGGAAATGAAGGAACTGAAAACACAACTCCAAGAACTGCTAGACAAGGGTTACATCCGGCCCAGCACCTCCCCATGGGGAGCACTGGTACTATTCGTTAAGAAAAAGGATGGGAGCATGCGCCTGTGCATCGACTACCGGGAACTCAACCAAGTTACTATAAAGAATAGGTACCCCCTTCCCCGAATAGATGACTTATTTGACCAACTCAAAGGGGCAGGGGTATTCTCAAAGATCGACCTAAGATCCGGGTGTCACCAGATCCAAGTGGCCAAACCGGACATCCAGAAAACGGCCTTTCGGACACGCTACGGCCACTACGAGTTTACCGTAATGCCTTTCGGCCTCACTAACGCGCCTGCCATATTCATGGACCTCATGAATCGAGTATTCCGACCTCACCTGGATGACTTCGTCATCGTGTTCATTGACAACATCCTAGTCTACTCCCGAAATAAAGAAGAACATGAGAAGCACCTACGCATATCTCTGCAAACCCTCAGGGAGAACCAACTCTACGCTAAATTCTCCAAGTGCGAATTCTGGCAAGACAGCGTAGCCTTCTTGGGCCACGTGATAACCAAGGAAGGGATTAGGGTGGACCCCGCTAAGGTTCGCGCCGTTAAAGAATGGACCACGCCGAACTCACTCTCGGAAGTCCGAAGCTTCTTAGGTCTAGCGGGCTACTACAGGAGATTCGTACCCGACTTCACCAAGATAGCCCAACCCCTCATTAAGCTCATGAAAAAGGAAACCCCCTTCCGTTGGGACAACGGCTGCATCTCGGCCTTCCAAGCATTAAAGGATAAACTAACCACTGCACCCGTGCTAGCCATACCCTCCGGATCGGAAGGGTTTGAAGTCTACAGCGATGCATCCAAGAAGGGGTTAGGATGCGTACTAATGCAAAATGGCAAGGTAATAGCTTACGCATCCAGGCAACTCAAAACCCACGAAGAAAATTACCCCACCCATGACCTCGAGCTAGCCGCTATCGTATTCGCACTGAAAATTTGGAGGCACTACCTGTATGGAGTACAATGCAAGATCTACACCGACCATAAGAGCCTGAAGTACATTTTTACTCAAAAGGACCTAAACATGAGACAACGAAGATGGCTGGAACTCATAAAGGACTACGACCTAGACATTCAATACCACAAGGAAAATGGGATTCCATATCCATGGACTTCGTCAGAGGGCTACCCCCAACGAAAACCGGTAAGGATAAAATCTGGGTCATAGTGGATCGACTCACCAAGACAGCGCGGTTCATTGCCATGAAAGAAACATGGACGATGACGCAACTAGCCCAAGCTTACGTAAACCAGGTAGTGAAATACCACGGGGTTCCCCGGAACATTGTGTCCGACCGAGATTCCAGGTTCCTCTCGCAATTCTGGAAATCACTACAAGCGGCGTTGGGGACGCAACTAAAGCTAAGCACAGCCTTTCACCCCACCACAGACGGCCAAACCGAAAGAACCATCCAAACCCTCGAAGACATGCTAAGAGCCTGCGCGCTCGACTTCCGAGGGACGTGGGAAGAACACCTAGACCTCATCGAGTTCTCGTACAACAACAGCTACCACGCGAGCATTCGCATGGCACCATATGAAGCACTGTATGGTCAGAGATGTAGAACCCCATTATGCTGGGAAGATATGGTCAACCCGGTAACACTGGGCCCCCAATACCTACAAGACACCATAGCTAAGGTCAAACACATCCAGGAAAGGATGAAGGCCGCCAGAAGTCGTACGCCGACCTAAAAAGGAAGCAAGCCGAATTCAGCCTCGGGGACAAGATCTGGCTAAGGATCTCGCCCACACGAGGGGTAATGAGGTTTGGGAGAAAGGGAAAACTCAGCCCCCGGTTCATCGGCCCGTACGAAATCGTGGAGAGAATCGGAGACTTGGCCTACCGTCTCGCCTTACCCGTCGAGCTAGAACGAGTACACAACGTGTTCCATGTATCTCAGCTAAAGAAATACATACACGATCCAAGCCACGTACTCCAACACGAAACCGTGGACCTCGACGAGTCACTAGTATACGAAGAGAAACCCGTAAGAATCCTGGACACCAAAACAAGAAATACTCAGAACCGAGTCGTGGAAATGGTGAAGGTTCTCTGGACCAACCACGGGACCGAGGAAGCCACATGGGAACTTAAGGACACAATGAAGGAGCGGTACCCCGAGCTGTTCACTCCAGGTAACTAAGGGAAAACTTTCCTTTCTTTTTGGTCACCCAGGGCCAAGCTTCGGGGACGAAGCTTCCTGTTAAGGGGGGGAGAGTGTAACACCCCGTGTTACGGATCCTAAAACCAACTGATTAATTAATTAATTAATTAATAACCCAGGAGAAAGAATAAATTATAATGGTTAATTAGGGAAAAAGGCCACCATAGCCCTTGGGCCCAATTATATAAACCCAACCCCTAAACCCAATAGGAATAAACTCTAAATAAACCCTTGGATCTATAAATAGGGAACTTAGGGAGCACCTAGAACCCCCTCCGACACGCCTAGGCGCCCCATCACCCCAGGAGAGCTCCAAGAATTCCCTTAGAAGAAATCAAGAAAGCAAGAAAGCTTAAAGAAAGATCCTTCATAGCCAAGGAATTAATTAAGGCTAAGAGGTAACCCATGTCTCAACAAAACCTATTTTCATAGCTATGATTTACCCTTAGGGTTTCCCCCATATTATTGTGAATGGCGAAATTATGATGATTATTATTGATGTTGATTTGATGATTCCATGGGGAATCTTGATAATTGGGAGTTTCTTGATAATGATGATATTCTTGATGATTAATTCGGGATCCTTGATGATTATGTGTTGTTCTTGATGATTATGATGTTCTTGATGATTAATTGGCATCCTTGATGTTTGTGTGTTATTCTTACCGAATCTTGCAATTAGAAGATGAATCGTATTCTTGTTGATATAAAAGTAATTAGAACCCTAGGTTGTATCGTATGATCTTATTCTTGGATTATCGGGTGGGGAAATCGCATGTTTGGGTGTTGATTATATTTAGAAAAGCATGATAGGTTATGTGTCGTTCGTTTCTCGTAATTGATCCGTTAATTGTCTACGTGTTGTCGTTAATTGCGTTGTAAAGTGTCTAAGCATGGTTTCGGGTTCCACAACGGTTCCCGGGGCGAAAAGTGATGAAAAGAGTCAGTGGGGGGTAGGTGGGGGTAGGGGACCCGCCACCTACCCGTGGCAACTCCGGGCAGTTCCGGCAGCGGGCAGCCGGCGGGCGGGCAGCTGCCCGCCGGGCACCCGCTGCCCGGAACAGTGCTGGCCGGCGGGCAGCCGGCGGGTGGACCCCCACCCACCGGCTATCCGCTGGAAAGTCGTCCCCCTCGGGACCCCGGCTTCCCCGTTTGATGTTTCCCCGATCCCTGTGGTGTCCCAACGGACTCCGTTTGTCGTGCCTATGTCTAGTTTGATATTTCGGGTACCGTTCGTAGGTTTATGAGTCTATTATATTGCATGCTAGTTGAATTGGTATCCCGTTGACCTAGGTGGAAGAAGTATGAACCCCTTAGGACTATTCTTAGTACGTGATGGATCACGCATAAGGTTGTTATACGCTTTATCCCCCTTCCCAAATGTGTAATGTGGGTTGCATGTGCTTGCTATGTGTTATGTGTGCGTGTTACCC